GCAGAGACTCAGATCCTATAGCCACAGAATAGAAAAAGCTAAGGCTCAAGTCCAGAATGTAAGAGTGATCAAACTTCAGAGAGCGTTCAACTCGGTCTTGGTGTGCTTTTCCAAGATCAGGACCCTCATTGGAAGTACTAGACTCTGATATTTAAGATGGATACATCTGGGCCTGGTGCGATAGCATAGTGGTTAAAGTCCTTGCCTTGCATGCCCGCGATCCCCTATGGTCGCCGGTTCTAATCCTGGTGGCCCTGCTTCCCATCCTGCTCCCTGCTTGTGGCCTGTGAAAGCAGTTGAGGACGGCCCAAAGCCTGAGACCCTGCTCCTGTGTGGAAGACCCGGAAGAGCTCCTGGTTCCTGGCTTTGGATTGGCTCAGCTCCAACCGTCGTGGCCACTTGGGGAGTGAAATCATTGGATGGAAGATCTTCCTCTCTTTCTTTCCTCCTCTCTGTATACCCGCCTTTCAATAAAAATAAATACATCTTAAAAAAAAAAAAAAAGATGGATACATCCAGGTCAATTCAGTTGAAAATATTCTTGTGAAAGAGCTGGTCTACTCTTTTTAGGTAAATACTTCCCACTTGGCTAAAGACCAGCCAGAGATATTTGTTCTAGAATACAATACATACTCTTGAGCAGGATATACTCCACTCTGCTTAAAGGCCACTATGCTAATAACTAGGTTTAGGTTGTACCATAATCCAGCTGGTATAATGGCCAGTAGAACCAGTGGGACATACCCTTCTGTCATGGGAGCTATAGGGCCTAGCCTACAATGTGGACCTCAGGACACAGGAGAGGACAGATGGAACTGGGTTCTGAATATGACCTGTCCCTAAGTCAATGTGACCAGACATAGTTTATAGTACAGAGGTACTGTGGTGAGAAAAGATGTAGTGCTATATCTATGGTGAACTTCAATCAATGAATCACAATGTAGATTTTCAGGATTCGCAAGCATAACTACAATATTTTCTCTAAAGATTTTTGTCATTTTATTTCCTTGATGATACAACGTTCCTAAATACTTTCCACAATAATCACAGCTTGTAGACAGAAGGGATGGACAGGCACCACATTATGCATTTCCCAAGGAACCAACACATCCACTTCCTAACGGCTAGCCCATTGGGACATTCCTTAGGAATGATGAAATTCGGAACACAGAAAGCAAGACCACTAGAGAGAACTAAGGTGATACCAACAGGCAGGGACCAGAAGAGAGACACTGGTGGTTACAAAACCTGTACACAGCAGGACTATGGTAGCAAAGGGTTGGCAAAAAAGAATGATTCTAAGCATCTACCCTTACAACTTCATTTATACACTAAGTATAGTGATTTCATGTAAGATTGCATTCTATGGGTCACAGGTAGAAACATTTTATGGAAGTTTTTATTCACATTACATATGAATGAGCAAATGTCTTAAATTCTCACTCTCCCCCGCCACCTACACACACATTTTGAAATTGGGTTTCCTTTGGAGTAACTAAAGAGAAAATGCCCGCAGGAGAAAAATGGACAGTTTCAAATGCTAAAGGATCAAGAATCACATGAAACAGACTATGGCAGGAGGCTCTTGTATGATTGCTGACACCCCAAAGCATTGCATGAGCACTTGGACAGACTCCAGATTGCAGGAGTTGGGGTGGAGAGGCAGTGAGCTAGTGGAAAGGGTGAGCTTGGCCAGTTCTTCAAAGGTCCAGGAGGTGAGAGCAGAGTGCTTAGGCTATTAGCTACCCAGTACATGGTTAGTATGAAAGAACTCTTGTGTACTAAGCTGCAAATGTGTCATTCCTTATATGTGTGTGCATCATAAATTTCCATTCAGCCCTCATCCAAGTCTATAAGAGAAAAGAAAGCATATTCATTTTGCTAATGGATAATATGCATTTAACAGGTTAACTCTCTTGTAAGAAACACAACCTAAGTCCATTTCTGAAGTTCTGTGCATGAGACAAGTCTAGTAGAGTCGAGGGAAGCTTGACTGGCTGCTATTTCAAGAAAGGGGAGACTTTAACCCTGATTGTAAGTGGGTCGAAACAAATCCTTCCCAGTTCCTACCTCAAGCATCCCACTCTCCAAGCAGCTCTCTCCAGCATATAAACGTTCCGTCATTCTCTCCCGTCCTCCAGTCTGAAACAAGAGATACAGAGCTAGGTGGGGTGATTGCCGGGGTTGATGGGAATCAAAATGATCTCTGTGAGCTTGCTTTGTACGTAGGCCAGATCAGCGTCTAGGAAGCTCACCATTTATCACTGCCTATGTTCAATCTGTCTCATGCACAAAGTTGGCATTTTGTTTAAAATCCCAGCAAGTGCAACTCACCACTGAACATGGGCACTTTTGCTCTAGCTATTTTCCATGGCTTTGTATTTTATCCCTTCCCTCAAAACCATGTTACATTGGAGTGATGTAGCTGGAATCATGCCCCATGTGAAAGGTACCAGTTCACACACAGCCCAGCAAGCACCAGTCAGGAGCCAGACCAGATCGCATAACATCCTGGGCACTTGCTCCCCACAACAAAGAAATTATTCAATGAAAGAAAAATCTTTCAGTCTATGTCTCTGACTAAATCGTGCATAGGAAAACAGGTAAATTTTACTTTTCCCATGTTGTTGATTCTCCTACCTGCACTTCATCCTTGCTAACTCCTGAAAGGCAAGGTGCCTGTTGGAGATAATACGCCCCGTGTCCCAGCTGAGAAAGCGAACGCTCAGCATGTTGGAGACATCTCACGCCCTCGTGGTGATTGACTAGAGGCTGCAGCTGTGGTTCGTTCTCCCCTGCCCTCAGCCCAGTCCTATTTTCTTCTAACTCTGCCTTTGGCCTTCCGATCTGAACTCACATGAAAATTCCTGGGTTTGTGGGAGATAGTGGGAGCTTTGAAGAAAGAAAAATACATACACTGAGAATCAGATTTAGTGCCAGGCACCATGCGGGCTGCTTTACCTAATGCCATTCACCAAGCTGGGATTTCTCCAGCTTGAGAGATAGGCACATTAGATGAGATAGGGAGAAATGTCCAAACCAGAGACAACTCAGGACCTGTACCCCCAACCAGCAGGAAATAGCTACGGGGGCTGAATATATGTCCTTCAGCAACCCTTAAGAAAAATGGTCAGAAGGCCTGGCACAGTGGCCTAGTGGCTAAAGTCCTAACCTTGAACGTACCAGGATCCCATATGGGCACTAGTTCTAATTCCGGCAGTCCCGCTTCCCACCCAGCTCCCTGCCTGTGGCCCTTGAAGGCAGCTGAGGACGGCCCAAAGCCCTGGGACCCTGCACCCGTGTGGGAGACCTGGAGGAAGTTTCTGGGTCCTGGCTTTGGTTCGGCGCAGCACCGGCTGTTGCAGCCACTAGAGGAGTGAACTGATGGATGGAAGAACTTCCTCTCTGTCTCTCCTCCTCTCTGTATATCTGACTTTGCAATAAAAATTTAAAAATAGGTCTTAAAAAAAAAGGTCTGGAATTTCAGAGGGAGGAATGACAGGCAGAAAGTTAGCTTCTAGTCACAAACTGGAAGCTATACCTGTGCAATACTCTCTGTTAACCAAATGACCCTCTCCCCGGGATATACTCCCCCAGGAGACCTGAGACAGCTTCACTTTCCAGGCTCCTAGGAATCCAAGAAACAAGTAGGAGCACTTTTTTCCCTTAGACACAAGATGAGAGTGGATCTCCCACTCTCTCCCTCCTTGCCCACTCTCTGAATATGGCCTAAAATACACTTTACAAAGTTCACAAATAATCATATATCCATTCTACCGAGTTAGGCTTTAACATAATCGTTGGAAGTCATAATTAGTAAAGTGAAATAACTTACGCAAGGTCAGAAATTAAGGTGAATCATGGGAGAGTCAACCTGAAGCCACCTCCTCCTGGTGTTGGAGCCTAAGGCCTGGCCCTGAGAGTCGGACGACGGAGGTTGGATCCCACCTTACTGCAATGAGTCGTCTTACTCTCTGCAAGCAGAGCCTCACACCAACTCTTCCAGCGTGCAGGGCACCTGGGGAGGTATAAGTAATACGCAGACTTGACCTGGTGGGCCTGCACACCTGTTCCAGATGATCCTGCGCACCTGAGGTCATGCCCCTCCTGCAAACGGGAAGAGCAGGGTGCCTCTCTCTCTTCAGTGAAGCACCTGAGGCCTATCCCTGACCCTCGAACTAAAGCCCCAACGATCCACGTTTCCACTCACCCTGCCAGTGGAGAGAATATGCTATTTCCTTCCTGCACTCTGTGAGTTCACTCAAAACCTCTTCATTTTTCTATGACTGCTGGGAAGTCAGAGTATATACAAGCACTCTTCACCACGAAGGAAATGTAAACATGCTCACTCAGAATCTGAAGGGCTCCTTGAAGAGGCATAAGCTTCTGGAAGCAAGTTCTGGGAGCTGACAGAGTCACCTGTTGCCTGTTAATGATTGTGAGCTCCTAGGCAAGTCAATTAGCTTCTGCGTGCTTCTGTTTCTTACCTCTTGAAGAAAGATCCTAGACTTGCCCTTCCTTCCTTCCGTTACGGCATAGAAGCAGCCACATACCCTGTTAAGTACTTGCACCTTATGGCTCAACTGAATTTGAATCCCAACTGCCTCTTACTAGTTGTGTGGCTTACGCTTAACCTTTCTGGATACAGGTTCTGTTCTGTGAAAAGCAGCAAATTACACAGCAGGCTTCAAGCAGAGGTAGCTTGAGCCTGTACTCACCTCAAGCTGGTTCAATATGGAAGTGCAAAAACCACGGCAGCATAAGGCAGTTCCACCTCTCCAAAGTCCTCTGTCCAGACTTAGGCTGTTGGAGTGTGTATCTAATGATTTCATCATGAACCCTAATTTCTTTAGCAAAGAAACATATTGAACTGGTCAAGAGCAAAGTTACCTTCTTTGACCAACAAACAGGTGGCTAATTCCATTTCCATCCTCAGCTCTGACCTCCTGCTGCTGGGGGTGGGGGAAGAGGAATGGAGAGGGGAGGGTTAGAGTCTGGCAAAGGGAGGGTTTGGATTGGTCTGATGTCACTCAGCCCTATTTAAAAGCCTCCTGTAGGCTCCTGAGAGCTGCGTGGATGCAGCTGGGGGAATGAGTTGTGGCTTTTTTTTTTTCCTTCCTTTTACAGACAGACCCAGACACAGCTGTTGCGCAAAATGCCACCTCTACAGAAAAGCCCAAGCCTCAGACCTTTCAAGCAGAGGAAAAGTTTAGGTAAAGCTCTGGGGCAGCTCTGTGGGTAACTTGAAAAAAAAAGATGAGAGGATACAGCCTTCTTTAACTGGCTACTTGTTCTTTCCTACCTGAAATGGTCACAGCAACCAGACAAGAGGAAGTTGCTGGAATTCGGGCCAAGTTCCCAAATAAGATCCCGGTAAGAGGCCACTGTCCTTCCCTAGAGGTGTCTGTGATCCTGTTGTTTGAAGAATACAAGACTAACCAATGGTCTCCTCTCTGTTCCTAGTCCCTAAAGACACTGGATGGGGCTGGGGGGGGGGGGTCTGAGTCCCATTCTAGACGTGTGTCTTAGGAGAGATTCATGCTAACCTTCTTGGCAGGTAATAGTGGAGCGCTACCCAAGAGAGAAGCTCCTGCCTCTGCTGGACAAAACCAAGTTCCTGGTCCCCCAGGAGCTGACCATGACCCAGTTCCTTAGCATAATCCGGTAGGTGGCCCAGTTCCAGTGTGCCTGTGTGCGTGCGTGTGTGTGTGTGTGTGTGTGTACTTGCTTTATGTGCATGTGTACATTCTGCAAGTATCTGGAATTTTGCTGCTTTCTTGGTTGTTTAGGGTATGTGGGCATTCCAGACAAAGAGGGCCAAGACATTTTTTTGTGACTCATCTATTACATTCTGTTGTGCCCTGAAAAGATGCTTTGCGAATTATTCTATTTTAAACAAGTGGGGAGAACCTCTCAGACAACAATCAAGAAACAACAAAAGCTGCCAACATTTCTAACAAGTTTCTAAGAGTGGTTTTGGCTCTGAAACTCGTCCAGACCACTCTTTCAGATACTGTCTGAAAACAGTCTGCATGATGCTGGCAGAGACCAGTGCCTTTCCCCAAGGGTTGTATGTGTATCTGGCAGACAGAGACCTCTTCTTAAAACAAGAGTCCCTGCCCTGCTCAGAACACTGAGAGATAAGGAGGCTCCCCTAAACATGTTTCCACCCTGGGCTGTGATAGAAACACAACAAAATAACTAACCACTTTTAAAATTTCAGAGGGTTAATAGGTGTCACCTGATGCATGAATTCAATTAAAAATTGATTTGTAAGTAACTACAGCCAGTGAATGTCTGCATGGGGTTGGAAGTCTGGAAGCTACTTAACCTCTGCAGCCTGCTGCTTGGCCAGCTCACCCTGATTATTTGTCTTCACTCTATTTTGCTTCAACAAGTTGAAGTTGCCAAGATAGGTTTAGCTCACTGTGAAGGGAGATGCCAAAAGAAAAATCAAAGTTGGGGTGAGATCCCAACGCACTAGTTGATCATTAGATGACCCCATCAGGGGTAGAGAGCCCTTTGAATTCTGAAAGTCATTCTTTTTCCAGTTAGGGGCCCTTATCTCCGCAACCCCTGATCTTCATCCCCATCTCAATGTTTGCAGAGTACCAGCTATATCCTGTGTGCCATGTGTGTTTTGTAGACCCAACAGTGAACAAAATAGACAATAATGCCTGGCCATGGCCTTCTCCCTCACAGAGATGCCCAAATACTTATCAAAAGTGAACTCACAAAATGTCTCAGACAGGTACAACCCCTGGAAGCACAAGCTTTTCTCTCTCAGCCAATAGCAATATCCCCACCTGCTAGTTTCTCACTTTCCCCACCCCATTGCAGAATGATTGGCTTTTACCCAAAGGCACTAGGCATTTGCCAGAGCAAACATCTTTGGGATTCTGTTAGGTGAAAGTATTTGGGAATAAAATAAATCAGAGTCGGGTCACTTCCCATCTCCCTTTAGTGTCTTTGCACCACATCCAGGTGCAAAGCTCTGAGTGAAGTGGGAAATTGTGTATGTTTCACTAGAATAGATGAAAGTGTGTGAAAGGTGAAATGGAACCTTCCCTTGGACCTGTATTGATTCACTGTCATCCTCTCAACTGAATCCGGATTCTTTGCCGCTGACATTCAAAGTGCGTCCAATTAAACCTTGCTGCTTCTCTGTCTCCTTGGTGGAGGGACAGAAATGGCAAGATGAGGAATGAACACACTTCAAGGCAGTAGATGTCCTTTAAGGTTGCTTGTGAGAAGCTGAGGAGACTGTGCATCAGCTTTGCATACCGCCTTGGGGAAATAGCTTCCAAGGCAACCTGGAACTCAGCTGCTTAGCATTTTTGTGCTGTCATGTCCTCTCCCTTTCCCTTTTGATTCAGCTTTGAGGTCCTGGGGTTCTTCAATCTCCAAGGAAACAGCTGGGAGGATTCAATCTTGAACCTACAGATTCCCAGCCTGCTTCCCATGTCAAAGATCCCACCACCCTCCTCTCCTTCCCAGGAGCCGCATGGTCCTGAGGGCCACCGAAGCCTTTTACCTGTTGGTGGACAACAAGAGCCTGGTCAGCATGAACATGACCATGGCAGAGATCTACCGGGACTACAAGGATCAGGACGGCTTTGTCTATATGACCTACGCCTCCCAGGAGATGTTTGGCTGCTTGGAGTCAGCGGTTCCCAGCAGCGGGAGCAACCATGGGAACAGACCTGAAATTCCCTCCAGCCCACCTCGGGAAGAATTTGTCCTCTAATGGCCGCATCGGACACTGTCAGAGGGCTACTGCTGTTCCCCTGTGTACCTGTTGGGCGGGTGGGAAGCAGGGTTGCCTGGGGTAATTGATTCTACCCAGTGACTCCAAAGCTGTGGCCCTTTCTGGTTCACATGCTCTGTGCTTCATGTTCTTCCTTTCAAAATAACATGCACTGCTTGCACAAGCTTTGTAGACAGCCAGTCTCCTCTGAGTATGACATGGGGAGCTGCGGTCTTCAGAGGTGGAGTGGGGAGGCCCTTGAGAAGTTACTTTACTCCCCCCTACCTGTGGGCAGCTGTGGAGCAGCTTGGGCTTGTGGAGTCAAGTGTAGCCAGTGTGAACCATAATAAACTGACCTGGGAGTGTCTTATTTGTGTTATTTGAAAGATTATTCTATGTTTGCAAATAAAGAATCTTGACTGAATTTAAACTGTAATACTGCAACAAGATGGAGGACTCCACCATGGGGGGAGGACATGGAGAGGGGTTGGGGGAATCCCAGAGCCTATGAAATTATGTCACATAATGCAATGTAATTAATAATTTAAAAAAAAATTATTCTATTTCCCTGGCATTTACACTACCTGGTTATTTCCTCACTTCCTTTCTATCTGTGCCACATATATGTGTGCCAAGGTTGGAATTTCTCAATAGAAACTCATTTAAGCCATTAAATGTTTACTAGGTATCAAGCTTCATTGCAAGCATTCTCCTTTTCTCAGTTAACTACTGTTTGCCATCATGTTAAAAAAAAAAAGATTTTAAAATTTTACTTGGAAAATCAGACCTACAAAGACAGAGAGGGAGAGATCCTCCATCTGCTGATTTAATCCCCAAATGGCCACAAGAGCCAGAGCTGGTCTTATCCAAAGCTGAAAACCAGGAGCTCCTAGTTCTCTCATGTGGCTATAGAGGTCCAAGTACTTGGACCATCCTTTACTGCCCTCTCAGTATATAAGCGGGGAGCTGTATAGGAAGTGGAGCAGCCAGGTCTAGAATGGGTACCTACATGGGATAATGGTATCACAGGTGGAGGCCTAACTACACCTCTACACTGGTCCCTATTTTTCATCACTTTACTAATTGGGAAACAGACCCAAAACCAATAATGATTTCCACATTCTCACTTCATAGTCTCCTAGGACTTGACATTGGGGAGTCTGGCTTTAGCAGTCATGTTCCCACGTGGCCTCCCTCAGGTTCCATGGCAGTGCTGACCTTGGGATGTGCTCCCTCCACAGATCTGCTGCTCCCTGCTCCTGGCCACTGTAGGACAGCCTCAGCCCCACTGCCCTGCCAGCTCCAGTCAGTTCCCTTCTCATCTTTCTGGCCACCTTTTCCATATACCAAGTAAAAGCACTGTCTTCCAGACTTGCATTCCAGACATACGCTTGTTGCTTCATTTAACCAATGGATATTCCTCTCCCACAAATATGCACTGTCCTATGGTGGTCGTCCCAGTGTTGCTCCTCTTGCTCTCACCTTCACCAGCCCTTTGAGTCACAGGATCTTATGATTGTCATCATGCTGCAAGTGCAGAGGTCCTCCCCTGCACTGGTAGCTGGGTAAGTTCTTACGTTCAGGGTGGTCTCCAAGATCCCTCTTGATGTAGCTTCCCCCATCTATTAACCTTTCTGGTTAATGAATGTGATGCTAAGGAGGGTTCAGGTGTCTTATTTCGGTTTGGCATTGTGGTAACCAGCCAAAGCTCAGTGTACAAAGCAGCCGTTTCGCTATGCTCATGAAGTCTGTGGTAAGAGGATTTAGGAAAATGCTCCATGACACCTGCAGACTCCACAGAAGACCTGAAAGGCTGGGTGTGACTTAGAGGGCTGGGAACGAGAATCATCTAGAGGCTTCTCAATTACTTTCCTAGACTGGGCTGAGTCATGGCTCGCCCAGCTGGGACTGAAGACTGGCAGGACTCCAAGTGGCTTCTCAGCAGGGCGGCTGGGTTCCAGATGGGAACCTCTTCAGAGGAAGCAGCTGGATCCCAAGTGAGCCAGGAGAGCCAGGCAGAAGCTGGCCTGTCTGTAGGAGGTAGATTTCCATCATTTTCGGATGTTTTGGCATCTATTCCGCTACTTTAATTGGCAATTTATATTTCTATGAATTATCACATTTCTTTAAGGCAATTCATGATTTCTCATTGATTTTATTATAGCAAGTCACATATAAGAATAACCACCTACTTCCTGTTGATAATGTTATGGCAGATTATCTCATGTGGATATTTTTTATGTGATCATTTACTCAGTGGCTTGAGGCTCACAATGTAAAAAGCTCTTCCCTCTGTAACATGATTAAAAATATATTCCCAGGGACAGCAACGGGGATTAGCACATAAAATCACCACCTGCTGTGCTGGCATCCTATATGGGTGCTGGTTTGAATTCTGGCTGTTCCAGCTCTGACCCAGTTCCCTGTGAACAGAGCTGGGTAAACAATGAAGATGGTCCCTGTACCCACATGGGAGACCTGGAAGAAGTCCCTGGCTTTGGAGCAGCCCAGCTCTAGCTCTGAGACCTTTCAAGCCAGCTGATAGAAGATCACTTTCAGTTTCTCACCACCCCAATTTCTATAAATCTGACTTTCAGAAAAATGAATAAATCTTTAAAATGGTTATATTTTCATCCTGAACTTACTTCTACTTTTCTCACTCCTCTTGCATTACTTTTACACTTATTTGAATCAATTAGAATTTATTTTGGTAAGAAAAGAGGTTTGTCCGATTACATGTTTTTCAGGTTGCTACTCATGAATTTATTAAATATTCAAATTATCATGCATGAATTTACTCTTTGAAGCTCCCGAACGCACTTAGGCCATCCTCACTAAGGCTCTTTAAGAACTCTGAAGTGGAACCCAGCACAGTAGCCTAGCAGCTAAAGCCCTCGCATTGCACGTGCTGGGAACCCATACAGGCAAAGATTCTAATCCCAACAGTGCCGCTTCCCATCCAGCTCTCTGCTTGTGGCTTGGGAAGTCAGTCGAGGACAGCCCAGATCCTTGGAATCCTGCACGCATGCGGGAGATCCAGAAGAGGCTCGGGGATCCTGCCTTCAGATCAGTACAGCTCTGGCCATTGCGGCCACTTGGTAGTGAATCAATGGATGGAAGATTTTCCTCTCTGTCTCTCCTTTTTCTGTATATCTGACTTTCCAATATAAGTAAAATAAATCTTTAAAAAAAAAAAAAAAGAACTCTGAAGTGCTTGGGCCCCTTCATCCACATAGGAGATGCAGGTGCAGCTCCTGGCCTCAATCTGGCCCATCCCTGACCGCTGTAGCTGGGTCGGGGTTTCGTACGTAGCAGAGCAGCTCCCCCTGACTGCTGTAGCCATTAGAGAGTGAACCACTGAACAAAAGACTCCCCCCTCCCGACTCTACCTTTCAAATAAATAAAATAAATCTTTCAAAAAAGAAAGAACATGGACTCTTAGCTCCCAGAAATAAATACCTTTAGGTAGACAGGCAGTACTTAATGATAAACTAAAAAAACAAAACAAACAAACAAACAAAAACCCCTATAAACCTACAGCATTGGCCTTAGATGGAGAACACAGAACTATGGAATTTTGGTATAACTGACTGTTTTCACAGACTAGGAAACCATTTATTTATTTATTTTTGGTGGGGTGGAGGTATCTGCGGCAAGGTTTTAGTCATTCTCTCCCCAACTCATAAAAAAGTGAAGGCCAGATGGAAAAATGCAGCTGTTCGGTCACAACCAGCACAGGAGTCGCAGCTAACTCCAGAGTCACTCGAGTGCCTGGACTGGAGGTCAGCAAAGCACTGTTGATGGACTGATGACTGAGGGCTTGTTATTATTATAACTGCTGCAGGAATGTACCCATGCTCACTGGTTTCTTGCTGTCTCTGGAGTCTTCATACCAAAATGACAGAGTTGAGACCAACCCATGGCATAGTACACTAAGCTTCTGCCTACAGCACTGGCATCTCATATGGGCACCGGTTTGTGTTCAGATTGCTCCTCTTCCAACCCAGCTCCCTGCTTATGGCCTGGGAAAGCAGTAGAAAATGGCCCAAGTGTTTGGGCCCCTATACCCTCCCACGCAGGAAACCTAGAAAAAGCTCATAGCTTCTGGCTTTGGATCAGCTAAGCTCCAGCCACTGTGGCCATCTGGGGAGTGAATCAGCAGATGAAAGCTCTCTCTTTTTTTTTTTCTTTGTAAAAATGTGCCTTACTCGCACACAGGAGTCGGGTCTGGGATCACCTCAGATGAGATTTCTTTGAAGGTGCTCCCCTCCCCCAGCTGAATCACCTGACTCAGAACTCCAACCATGGGGAGAGAGACAGAGCCTATGATCTGGCAATGGAGTGCATGTGTCTGAGTGTGGCCTCCTCAGTTACTGAAGACAGTGCATACTCAGATACACATGGAGAACTAGACAGTCCACTAGAGCCTGCTTAGGACATCGGGTACTACAGCAGAGGAAGGAGGGCAGAATAAATTGGTCAACTACCCCCAGTGAAGCTTGATAGCAAATTTCTTTGCGAATGGAGACTGGTGGACTGTGTCAGCCAATGGATCTTGGACGGATTTCCTCATCCTTGGATCTGAGAGATTGACAGCATTTCAGAACTATCGAAATTACTTGAACAGAACCCTCAGAGCATGTTCCACATCGGGGAACCTAGGATGACATCAGGTGGCCTTTCCCCATCCCTGGGTACTGAGACGGTTGGGAGGTTGGGTGTGGCTTCTCCCCTTGTCTCCCTTTCCCCCAGATATAGGAAGATGATAAGGAAGCTGTGGAAATAGTGGTCTCACCCACTTTCCTCTAGTCCTTGACCCTTCCCACCCTAATCAACTATGTGAACATCATAAAAAAAAAAAATCTGCCTTTCAAATAAAAATAAAATGTTTTTAAGAAAAACAAGAATAAATAAAATGACAAAGTTAAGTAGTTGCCAAAAGATCAAATGTGAGGACTTCAAAAAGTTTGTGGAAAAATGGAATTAAAAATTAAGCCAATTTGGTCAAAAATACTTTGAAACCCATACATATAACCCTAAAATATTTACTGTCTAACATTTTATAGAAAAAATGCTGTCCTTGTACTAGGGTTATACTAACAGTTCTATCATCAAGATACCCTGCAGGAGGTGGGAATAAGTCACAGCAGAGTCTTGTTGCTGTTATTTGGGTCATGCATGAAGGTACATCTATTAGACTTACTGATTCTGCACTGCCTACCAAGCCCTTACCTGCAGTAGTTTAACACATACGGGCACATGCAAAGAATCCTTCATAGATCACACATGCTCTTGTTCATGGTCTTACTGTTATAGGTCTCCTCCATGCTCATTTACCTTTTGCTTGCTTCTAAAATATGCCCA